TGTACCACGACTGTAGTTGTTCTCATACATGGCTGCATATTATCTCCTGTCCCTGACCTTGGGGTACTCTCTGCCAGCCATACCTGAGCCGATGCCAGCTGGAGCAGGGCACCCACAGTTGTACCTTCTTTTTACACTTTGCTTTCAGTGCCTTTCCATGACTGCTTGGGAGGAAAGGGAGACAGAACCACTGAGAACAGGAAAACTAATTAGATACACACACTGGAGGGCAGGGCTAGGACTCACGGATTACCTAAACAAACTGGAGGATTGGGCCAAAAGGAATCTCATGCAGTTCAACAAGGACAAGTGCAAAGTCCTGCACTTAGGACAAAACAATCCCATGCACCGGTACACGCTGGGGGCTGACTGGCTGGGCAGCAGCTCTGCAGAAAAGGACCTGGGGGTTACAGTGAACAATAAGCTGAATATGAGCCAGCAGTGTGCCCTTGTTGCCAAGAAGGCTAATGGCATACTGGGCCGCATTGGTAGGAGCATTGCCAGCAGATCAAGGGAAGTGATTATTCCCCTCTATTCAGCATTGGTGAAACCACATCTGCAATACTGTGTCCAGTTTTAGGGCCCCCAGTACAGAAAGGATGTGGACAAATTGAAGAGAGTCCAGCACAGGGTAACAAAAATGGCGAGAGGGTAGGGGACATGACTTCTGAGGATAGGCTGAGGGAACTGGACTTATTTAATCTAGAGAAGAGAAGATTAATAAATGGAAAAATGGGATTTAATAGCAGCCTTCAACTACCTGAAGGGGGGTTCAAAGGAGGACAGAGCTGGACTGTTCTCAGTGGTGGCTGATGACAGAACAAGGAGCAGTGGTCTCAAGTTGTAGCAAGGGAAGTTTAGGTTAGATATTACAAAGAACTCTCTCACTAGAAGGGTAGTAAAACACAGAAACGGGTTACCCAGAGAGGTTATGGACTCTCCATTCTTGGGAGTTTCTGAATCCCTGGCTAGACAAGCTTTGGCTGGGATGATCTAGTTGGGGCTGGTCCTGCTTTGAGCAGGGGGTTGGACTATATGTGACCTCCTGAGTTCCTTCCAACCCTCATTTTCTATGAATCTATGGTTCCACATGACTGCTCAGGGCAGCTGTGGTGAGTCTCACTTCTCCCAGGAGCTCAGCATGGCCCTGAGAAATAGGGCAGGCAGGTGTCAATTAGGCAGATTGATGTTCCGATGGAATGGGACATGAGCAGCTAAGCAACCGAGCCATGGAGGGGGGAGGTTGGAGGTAGGGCACTGCCACCTCAGCTGTGTACCAGGATGGGAGGGTGGGATTGTGGGGGAAGCAAGGAGATGAGGTCACTGCTTTGCTCAGTGCTGAAGGACAGGAACCTTTGTAGCATACAGAAGCCTGTGGCCCTGTGCTGCGAGTGGGCAGGATGGGGCGATTCACCCTCCCCCCATGCTCCACCATCCCTGTACTCCCCGCCCCAATCCCGTTCTGGGCTTCTCAGCCACAATGGCTCAACAGAAGGTTGTGACCACAGGGAAGTGCTGTAAGGGGTGCAGTTCCTGCCGCTCCATCCCCCCCGCCCCCCATTTCTCTCAGGGCATGGAGCAGGGGTGAACTATACTGTTCTGAGCTACATGACGTCCTCACTTGGGGCCCAAGTCATCAGAATTGGGAGGAGGGCTGGCCATGGGTCATGCAGGTGCACTGGCCACTGCACTGATAGTGTGGGGGCTGGTATGCACTCTGCACTTCTGGGAGGGGGGCAGCAAGGTGTCAAAAGAGTTGGGTCTGGGACAGCCATGGCCCATGTAGGAAATGGTATCCTAGGGCGCACAAGCTCAGCTGTGGACTGCAGGGTCAAGGTCTGGGGGGGGGCTCCTTTGAGGCACAAGGCACATGCCCAGACATCCATGGTGTTGGAGCACTCCTCCCCATCCTGCGTGCTGTGCTCCGTGCTGTCAGCAATAGGCAAAAACATCTTCTCGGAGCATACTTAGAGCTACAGGTGCACCTTGGCTCCCACCTCCTATGATGCAGGGACCAGCAGCAACACTCCTGACTCCTCAGGGAACAGCTCCAGCAGCTATGCTTTTGACCTGTGGCCCCTGGGGACCTGCTCCTGGGCACCTGGTTGTCCTACCATCCCGGGGCCTCCCTGCACCTCTTTCTCCAGTGGAGTCTCTGCTGACAACTCCTCCAGGCCCAAGGGTGCCATAGGTGTGCAGGGTGTTGACAGCCCTGTCCTTGGTGAAGAAATGGGACAGCTCCTTGTAGAAGGGCATGGCCTGCCTCCAGGCCCCAGACCTCGATGGCATCATGCATGCGATACTGACTATTCATCACCTTGGTCTCGGTGCAGCACTGTGACTAATCCCTGTTGTGGCCCTGCTCCTGTATGGGCTCGGCAACGTGCTTGAAGACATCCCTGTTGCGGTGCCCTTTCAAAAGTCGGCACTGGATCTCTTCCTTACCCTAGATAGCAATGAGATCCCTTATTTCCCCACAGGCCCACTTGTATGCCTGGGTTTGGCTGGTGAAGGTGGATGGGGCAGGGTCATCCATGGTCCATGGCAATGCCCTTGGGGGCTTGGCATCTGTGGGCAAGTGAGGATCTGGCTACAAGGGGTGGGGAAGGATGGAAAACTGGATGGTTGAAAGTGAAGGGCACACAGAAGGTGCGGATCCCAGCATGTGCTTCTCCTTCTCACTTCAGCTGGGTGTGGACCCTTCTCCAGAGTAACTGCGGCTCTGCTGGTTAGGCCATCCCCACAACACTGAACTTTCCAGGTACTTACAGCAGACACTACTTGATTCTGACAACAACCTTCACACCAGGCTGGAAATTTCCATTGTCCTCTATCTGCAACAGAGGGAGCTAGCCACACCAGACCTGCTCCTGAGGTTTCCAAGGGCATCTGCTTGCTGGCCCTGGCAAATAAAATACTGGCGTCCCAGTAGAAGCCAGTGGTCCACACTGCCAGGAGGGGAAAGCACTGGCTGGTAGGGTGGCACAAAAAGCAACAGACAAGATGGTGAATGCCCCCTCATCCATCCTCTCCCTGCCAGGCCAATCAGCGCCGAGGAGCAGGGCCACATGAAGGGAAGCCAGCAATCAAGATGGCAGATACCATTCATCCCTCTCCCACCCACCCATCCCCAGGCCTCTCGCAATAGGCAGAGATACTGTGAAATAACCATGTAATTAGAACTTTATGCCACAATCAAGCCAAGAAAACTAGTAAGTGTCCCTGCAATTTAGGTAAATCCCTACTTACCTTGCATTAAAAAAATACCTAGAACAGCTCAGGGAGACAACATCTGTTCACTTCAGCTCACTGCAAGGTACACATGTGCAAAGGTATACTGATCTAAGTGCAAAGCTATTTTATGTGGGATACTATGTGGAGAACTGCCAGAAGTGGATTTTTTAGAGCAGAAACACTGCAAAATGAAGTTGCCCTTCTTCTGACAAGTTACTCGTGGCAACTTAAGATGCCAAATAATTACCTTTGGTAAAAGGCTTATGTACCTACAAGATGCGTTAAAAATGAATGAACTCAAGTTAAAACCAATTTCACATTCCACATACGTAAGCTTTAGGAGAACAAGGCTTAGAATTTAACTTTTCTGGTACATTTGATATTTTTTAAACAATTAAGGTCTTGTCATCTTTACATCTTAGAAAACAGGCATAAAAAACCCCTTACCTATATGTTCAGCCATCCTCTGCCTAAGAGATTTTGTTTTGGGAGTAAAGCTGAGTTTTCTTTCATGATCAGATTCTTCTTCACTCTCAAGATCACTGCTTTCCTTTCTCTGAGAAACCTGATGGCAATCTGAAGTATCCAGTGAAATATAGTCTCCTTGAGTCCTGGCCAGCTGACGTTTTCTTCGGGCGGCCTGAACGTACGCTGCGCTAGGGAAAGTACCTACATTGAACAGAATGAAATTAAGATAGGAACCAAAATTGCATTTTTTGCCACAAGGAATAATGTTGTATTATACGGTGCTTTTTCTACAAATAATTGATAGATTGTTAACCTAGTATATTTTAGAAAAAACAAAACACACTGATATAACTAAACACTATTTCAATTATACAAAAGGGCATGATTTGAAATCTACAAATGTTTAGGGCCACATCGATACCCCCAAATATTAGTTTTTCAGAGTGCACCCAGCAATCTTCAAACACTTGAACAAGACCAAAAGCAGTCTTAGTAGGTAAAACTGCCTAAAGTGTCCAGTACTTATGACATAAATGCTGATGGAAGTTGTAAGCTGGCATCTCTCTCTTTTGCCTGCTCCAAGTCCCAAAAATTATAAGCAGAAAAACATTAATGAGTTTTAAATTTGAAAGCTTAGGGATAATAAGAAAATGGAAAATATTCCTGTATCGTGCATGTTCTATGTACTTTACATTTTTCATTATTCTTTGATGAAATATGTAACCTTCCTATTTCAGAAAGAATATTTCAGTGCATCTAACATCATTGTTTTTAATGGAATTTAAGATTATACCATCATACTTTATACCATAATGCTTACTTTCAATTTTTTTTGGTTTTGATTACTACAAATATTATGTTTTTTTCTTTAACATAATATCATTCTGGAAGTTTATCCTAAATTTCAAGAGCCTTGCTTGCCAATACAAATTTTGTGAGATATTATATATTCTGTTAGTATCTTTTTAAAGCATACTTTGACGGTTTGTGCAAGAGCCAGACTGCTCTCAGGCTGGTTGTAGACATTAAAAAAACAAAACAAAACTGTGCTTTGCCAGGAGGAGCACCGCATTACTTTGACCTGGCTTCATGGAATCTGTATACAACAGATGCTCCAGTGGGGCTTTTCGGTGCTTTTTTCTAGAGCTGAGTCAATCAGCTATTAGATAAAAGTGTCAAAAAAGCCCCACTAAAACACCCAATCTATACAGACGTGGGGTGAGCCATGTCCAACTAACAAGCTGCCTCCTCAGCATGGAAACGCACCAAGCTTAGAGTGCCATCTTTCCTTTTTTTTTTTTAAACGTCTGCAAGCAGCCACAGTTACACCAGTGTAACTCTAGAGTATTCCCTTAATGCTTTGCAACTCCAGTGCAGCTACTGCAGATTTGGCAATAGAGAGAACAGACTGAAGTTTAGGCAGTAAGAGGCATTTGGAAAACCTGCAATATGTAAGATTATGTAAAATACACTCTCTCCATGAAACACCATTTATCACTTTAAGGAGGCATTTCTGTTTTACAAAAATTTTTTTTTTACAAACCTGGTGGTAAATCCTCCCTTTTCTGTGGGGAGCTGGGTAGAGGTTCAGAAGCTGTGGATGAATTGCAGTCATCTTCACTTGCTGAAGAACACTGCTCGTCCTCCTCGTCTGACTCAAATGCAGCTTTGATTTCAGTGGCTCTAGATTCTGATTGGAAGATTTCTGTAAATCAAGGGAAAAAACAAAGCCCACACTGCAGCCTGACCTCTTGGAAGGGCTTTCTGATGTCATATGGTTTTGAATGGTTAATCAATAATACTCAACCCAGCAAAGACTTACACACTTGCTTCACTTATAGATGGTAGGGTGTCTGATTGACTTCAAGGATTTTATAAAAGTATTTTTAGTAGTAATAAATTTTAACAAAAGCAGATTTGTAAGACACTGCATAAGGACCATGTGTGCTGTGAATCTGTACAAATTAAACTCCTTTTCACTGTTCCTGAATTTAGAATTAAGAGTAGATTTTAAAAAAATTCTTAACAAGTTTAGACCTTTTATTGCCAACATTCATTTAAAAAAATACCGCTACAGCACAGTATAAATAGTTTGTAGGGGTGCACCGATAGAGATTTGGGGAGCTGATTTTTAAGGAAGCATATCTGCCAATACTGATCCGATTTCCAATACAGCTGTGTGCAGCTGGTAAGTCTGTTGTGGTGAAAGGGGAGGGAAGGGGCATGGGGGGGCACAGATCAATGCCCCCCACAGTGAGGGAGGAGCAGGGCTGGGGTAGATGCTGCCCAGTTGGGGCAGGGCAGGCACAGGATGGAACTGCGGCTCATCCAGGGTCGCAGGGGGCTGGCAGCTCCTGCCACTGCATGTTGCTGGTTCAGAAGCGGCTTGTCCAGTGGCTCATCAGCTCGCCCAGCAGCTCCCGCCACTTGTCTGGGAGGGCATGTGCCTCCGGATCTGCACAGGGCAGGCTGGGCTGGACTGGGCAAGCTGCAGCTGCAGGCTGGGGCCAGAGGCTGCACGGTGCTGTTCTTGGAGCGGGCACCAGCAGCACTGGGAGCACAGCCCCCGGCTCCAACCCACAGCTGCAGACTGCCTGGCCCACCCAGTGCAGATCTGGGGGCAAACCACCCCCCCCCCGCCGGATGAACGGCAGGAGCAGTGGTGGGAGCCGCCAGATGAGCAATCAACAATCCATAACTATTCCATAGATCCCACTGCCAGATGACAGTAAATTAAACAGATTGCAGGGGGAGAAAGAGGAAGGGGACAACTGCCTACCTATAAAAAAGGAATAAAGAAGAAGGAAAATTATGTTTTTCAAAGTTAATAAAACATTTAACTGACCAATACTTAGTACAAGGGTAAATAATGAATTATCACTGCTTGGAATGATATAAACATCAGCTTTTTAAAGTTGTAAGTAAAAACTTAAAAACATCCATAATACCCTGAAGGTAATCATTTTTGGTTTTAGAAGCCACATTAGACTCTACCTAAAAAAGCCAGAGAGGGTTTTCTGATAAAAATCAAAATGCATTATCCTTATCAAGCTACAATTTCAGATTGATGGGGCAATATGTAAATACCACAGAGTTTAAAGGAGCTGCTGCTTGTGAGACTAAGACATCACAAAGTTTTTTAATGTCCACTTACTGTGGGAGCTCTGGATACTCAAAGATTAGCTCATAAATGCTCCTGCTGCTACAAAGTCAATGGGAGTTTAAAAGATAACTTCAAGAGGTTCAAGGTCAAATTTAAGCCAGTTTTGCATTTGGGAATACAGGTTTTCCTCGCTTTATGCTGTACATGTGTTCCTGGAAAATGATGCATAACTTGAATTCATATCAAGGGAACCCATTTTACAATATAACAAATAGAGATACGTTCCAAGACCTCAACTGCCCTGAGCCATTTCTACCACTTTTACAAGACAATTTTGGTACTCGCCAACAACAGACAGTACACACAAGCACAGGGTGGTGGTGAATGTTACCATAATGGGGATGGCAACTACAGAAATGTGTATCGCAGACAATGACCAAGAAGCACAGATCCACACAGGACACTGTATTTTGGTGCGCATCACTCCCACAATGCACTGCACAAAGCAACCGACTGCCACTTTCCACCGCATCGATCGCATAAGGGTGAATTTACCTCTCATATAACAAATTTTTGGTATAAAAAGGGTCATCACATAAGACCGAATTCACACATACAGAACCCACATAAAGCAAGGGAAACCTGCATATATTTAAGCTTAGTGCTATTCAAATATAAAAGTATCAGGGTTTATAAGAAGAAACATATTAGATAACATGTGTAATCTGGGATCGCTAAAGGCTTTCAATTAAATCTACAAAGCATTCTTGGTAAATATCTACCTTTTCCGCTTTCAGCTTGCTCTGCAGAAGGCACACTTTCCTTCTTGGGAATGTTAAATTTGATGGCATTGAGTGACGGTTTCTTTACTTGGAAATGTTCTTCACTCCCTAGTGGGGAGAACAAAACAAACCGTGAACAGCATGAACAGACTTCTCAAGCAAAACGTTGTTAACTTTTTGTGGCAGTGCACCTTTGGGTGCCTGACACTTTAAGGGCTTAAGCAAGCAGGCTGCAGACCAGCCAGCAGGTGGGAGCAGCCCTAATCGAGTGGTCACATGGCACCCAGGAAACTGCCCAATTGGTGGAGTTCTGGGCAGCCTGGGTATAAGACCAGGCCCCGAGACCAGAGCCGGCCACTTGCAACTGGGGAGCCAAAGAATGAACATGACGTGACCCGAGTACTGCTGCTCCCAGGACATCTAGAGGTCAGGTTAGGAACTGTAGGGATGGAAGAGGTCCCTGGTCCTGGATAAGATATGAAACTACACCCTGCTGGGTTTAGATGGTGTGGTGGGGCTGCCTGTGGTCTCCAGGAAATGCTACACCTGTGCCTCTCCAGTGAAAGGCATCATACAGCCTCAGCCCCCACCACCTGGTGGGTAACCCCATAGAGGGAACAGATTAGGGATCCAGGCATGTCAACAGACACTTGAGGCCTAACAGGTATAAAGCCCAGAAGCCCTAGTGAGAGGGCAAAATTGTGGCCCCAGTGAGGGGGTGGAGTGAAAGCTGGAGGCCATGTGGAATAGGGCCCACGGGGGCCTGAAGGACTGTGCATAGGTCAGCCAGACTAGTGGCCCCAGTGAGGGGGGCAGAAAAGGCCAAGGTACATCTGAGGACACCTGAGGCCAATTGTGGGCTGGAGGCCAAGTGCAGCCCAGCAAAGGGGCCAGGGGAGTTGGAAGTCATTTTAGATGCCATCTGTGAGGCATGAGACATGGTGTAGGAATGGTTCAGAGCCATGTATTACGCCCTTGGCATCAAGACACTAAAGGGGCAGCCTCCCGCCTAGAAACAACTATTTAATTCCAACAAAGGCGTGGCAGGAAAGTCAGGTGGGTGGGCCAACTATGAGGCTGGCCTCGCCCCCTGTCACACTTGTGAATGCTGCAATTACAAACCACATCCTAAGTCACAAGCACAGCAGATATAAGAACATAGAACATAAGAACTGCCATTTCCTGAGTCAGAGAATAGGACCATTTTGCCCAGTGTCCCGTGTCCACAGTTAAGATTAATCATAGACTAACACAGGAATCAGCAACCTCCAGCACATATGCCAGAGCATGGCACGCAAGGCCATATTGCTCGGCATACCACAGATGGCCTGGGCTCTGGGCAGATGCTGCGGGCCACGGAGCCTGGGCTGTTCACAGCAGGTGGCTGAGAGGCTGCAAGCCGTGCTGCATGCAGCCCAGGCTCCGTGGCAGGCAGCAACTGCCCAAAGCCCGGGCTGCCTATGGCAGGTAGCTAGGAGGCTGCAAACAGCTGCACCGAGCTCCTTAGCGGCCACAGCTGCACACGTGTCTCTGGGTGTAGGGTCAGGAAGGGGCTGCAGAATGCATGGATGGGAAAGGGCTGGGGTTGCTGAGGCACAGCTGCCACTGCCACAGAGCCCATCCATACTCAAGACCAGTACAGCTTGTTTGCAGCCTCCCAGCTGCCAGCCACAAGTGACCCAGGCTCTAGGCAGCTGCAGCAGGCAGCTAGGAGGTTGCAAACAACTGCACCAAGCTCCAGAGTTCCAGCACTGGCTCTGTGGCAGTGGTGGCAGCTGCACACATGCCTCAGAGCACATGGTAGAGAAGTGGCCTGGGGCAGCACAGGCAGCAGGCAGGCTGCCAACAGCTGCATAGCTTCCCTGCCATACTAAGTCCCCTCTCCCTTCTAACCGTCTTGCCACCTTCCGGGGCATGATGCCACTTCTCTTTCTCCCATTCCTTCACCAGACTGCTCCTCGCCCCAAGCTAAAGGATAAAACGTACAGCATTACCAGTTATCAATATGTGAATGGTTAAGTGTTCACATCCCTATTTGCCACAGCCTAAAATATTTTCAAATGAGGTCCAGCAAAAGAAAGTTTGAGAACCCCTGCACTACTTAAACTGGTTAAGAGGCCTATATGTACTTAGTCATGGATAGCAAAAACCCAAGTTGGATACTTGAACGTTTCAGCCAGCGTGGAGAGAATTGCATGGTTTTGTGCAGAAAGGGGATCATGTTGTTTGTGGCCTGCGTAGTAAAAGAGTGGTATCTTGTACTTTCAGCATCCAGTGCCATTTCACAACCAAGCACTAAGCCAAATTGTCTGGAGTCGATAAAGCAGACAAATTTGAGTGCATCAGAAAAGCTACTGATTCACTTGAAAAAAAAAAACAGACCCCCAGCTTTTCTAAGTTTGTAACTAAACGTGCTCTTTCCACACAGGCAAGTTACATTGCAGCTGTAGCTATAGCTCGGAAGGGTGAGTGCTTACAGATAGAGAGGACTTAAAGGAAGCTTTCTGAAACCATGCCGAGGAACTGTTTCACGATTTTGTGAATAACGAAGCCATGAAGAAACGCCATGGGCAGCCAGAACAGCTCAAAAGCGAGTAGGCGTCCATGAGTTCCACCCTGAAGTTACAGGCTGAGAGAGAAAGAACTGCCTTTCATTACTTTTAATCTCACCACCTGGTGTCATTCTGTGACCCTTACTTCTTGTATTGTGAGACAGTCAATAACAAGCCCCTAGCGACTTTCTCTGCGTTGTTTCGCATTTTGTAAACTCTTAATGTTGCCCTTCAAACCCCTCTTTTCTAAACTCAGTCAAGCTTGGCCTCTTCCTCTCTCCTCACACAAGCCCTCCACGCCACCAATCATCCTCGTCGCCCTTCTCTGCACCATCTCTAGCTTTCCTATACCCTTTGTGAGGTGCGGGGACCAGACCTGGGCACGTTATTCAAGGTGCGGATGCACCATGGATGTCTAAGGGGGCATTTGCCGCGATACTTTCCATCGCGTGGAGTTAGGCAGTCATTGGTACGCAGCAGACACTTGGCATGGGACAAGCAAGCGTGAGGCCAAACCTTGTGCAGGACCCACAGGCCTCCTCGCCCGTTCCCTCTGCCCGGGTCCTGGGGTCGAGATGCACATTCAACAGAAAGCTGGCTGGAAACCACCTCCAGAGCAGCTACACATTTCCAAGCACTAATTCTGTTGCTGCCCGGCCCTCGGGGGAGCGGGACAGACGTGGTTATCACCCGACTTGGCCTGTGGGGCCAGTCCACGTGAACTGCGCGCTCCACCAGCGACTTACGCCATACGGGTAAGGTGCAGAGGGGCCAAGCCCGGATGCCTGCGGGGAGAGTGGGGGAGGGGGGCTCTACCTTCTCGCTCCTCGTCGCTGCCGAAGCTGAGCAGGTCCCTGCCCCCCCGCGCCTGCCGGGCCCCCCCGCCGCTCCTCCTCCTCCCCCTCGACGCCGGGGCCCGGCTCCTCCTCGCTGCTGGCGGACTGCACCCTGCGGCGGCCCCGGAAGTGACGCGGGCGCCGGCGGAACATTCTGTCCGGTACCGGTCACGCAGGCGGTAGAACCGGTAGAACGCCGACGCACAATGCGCATGCGCGCCGCAGCCCGGCTAGACGAGGAAGCGGGGTCGACCAATCACCTGGTGCTGGCCCCGCCCCGTGGGTGTCACAAGGGAAGTGGGAGGGGCAGAAGAGGCTGCTGGCCAATGAGGATGAAGTGCCTTTAACCCTCCCCTGGCTGGGACGAAGTGGGGTGCGGAGCTGGTGAGTTTTCAGTGCTGTCGCTGCGGGTCGGCGCTGGTGGAGGAGCGCGCTCGGCGCGGGCGGTCTTTCCTGCAGGACCACGGGGGAGCAGGTGTGGGTCGCTGCCTTCTCCGGTAAAGCAAGCGGGACCCGTGCAAACTAAGTACGGTAGCACGTGTCTTCTCCTCGTCGTTGTTGTCTCTGGCTCAGCGCTGGGGGGGCTGGAGCCCCGGGGAGAGCCGCCTGCCTGCCTGCCCGCTCGCCCGCCCGCCCGCCTCCGGCTTCAGAGGATTTGCTGCGGAGTAAAACCCGGGGTTAGTTGCACCACAGCAGTGGTGGGAGGTGTCTGCGCCCTTCCTCCTTGCTGGGACGCTGGCACTTGTATGCGCTTCAGGTCTTCGTAGGATGCATTTGATAGCCTGAGACGGAAAGAAATGCAAAAATCTAGAGCTCTTAGTTCAGAGATGAGACCTTTTAACGAGAAAATCGCAGACACAATTCATCTTTTTTCTGCGAGCTTTCGGGCGGGGCAAAATTAATCTTTTTCTGCGAGCAAGGACAGCCCCAAAAATAAACGTCAAACGCCCTTCGTTGGCCTCTGGGAAAATTAAAGATAGTGAAAATTCCCCATAGGTAGGAATTAAACTTCACTTTTGCACAGACAGAGGGAGTGGAAGATGGAAATCTGTCCCTCTGGATCTATGAGTGTGTCTTTGTGAGTTGTTCTGAGTTGCTCTTGGTTGTGTAGATCAGGTACGATTCCTTCCCTGGAGGTGTCAGATGGCAAGCAGGGAGTTTAGAAATCTTTCTTGTTGTTAAATGAAGTTTAAAATCCAAAACTGGCTAAAATTCAAGTCTTCGTAGGCAGGCAAGGTTCTTTGGGTAGATGTGTGATACCTTTTACTAAACCAACTAAATAGTTGGGGAAATTGTTTTTTGCAAGTTTTCAGGCACAAACACCCTTTTTCAGCCTAGGGAGTCTGCTGGTGTGATGTGTGCTGTCCTGGGTAGAATAGAAACCAATTTGCAAAATTCAGGCTTGTGAAAATGGAAATGCGTGGCAGCGAGGATCAGAGGGAATGGGGGACAATAGGTGTGAGACTGGTAAGTTGTGGGGACGGAGGATGTTGACCTAGTAATAGAACGGAGCTGGTAAAATGCAGACAGGTTACCTGGGGTTATCGGATGGCAGGCAGGTTATAACGTGCCATAAATCCAATGTCTGTATTTAGTGCATGATTTTTTTTTTGTATCCAGTAGATTGATGAAGTGAAGTTTGTAGACTTGCCGTTAAGGATTAGAACTGAGAGATGGAGAGAGAGCAGTTGTCTTGTGAGAAGTGGGCACCCTCGGGTAATTGGGTAATTAAGTCTTCATAGAGTAATAGAAAACTAGGGCTAAAGCAGGATGATCCCTATTCGAGCCACACTATACAATTCACCAGCTAAACTCTGTGTAAGAGTACCATCAGCCCTGACACCGCGTAGACCTAACACCCTAGCCTGCCACTGGTAACACAAGAGAATCACAGCAAAGAGTGTCCTGCTGCTTTTCTTGTCAATATGGGCTCAGGAGATCCCAGGCAAACATTGCTGCAGTTGTTTCTTTCTGGCTACTTAAAAATTCAATAGTAAGGCAACCTCTCTTATCCACTAGACAGGAATTTATGACCTACATACAAACTGTGGGTCATGGTGAGGAAGTCTTTCCATACAGCTGGAGTCAATTTCTGTTTATCAATATTTTTGTTTATTCCTCACTATTAAATTGTTTAAGCCAGGGGTGCTCAACTCCTGGCCTGTGAGCCAGATCCAGCACACAGATCTATGTAATCCAGCCAGAAGGGCTCCCTAAGTGGGGCAGTGGTGGTATCATTAATTGCTCACCCCCTGCTGCTAAATTTTCAGACCCATGTGGTGCTCTGTGTGCCAGATAACATGTTCCTGTGCACCAGATCATGCTAGATCACACCAGTGCGCAATTGGATCCAGGCATGTGGGGGTCAGGCTGGTGTGCTGGATCCCACATGCCAACCCTGCATGGGACCTGGCCGCCATGCTGACCCTGTGCCACACATCCAGCCTGCTATAAGGTTGGTGCCCCTGGTTTAAGAACATGACTGAAGGGATTTGGCTATCATTAATCCAAAACACTATCTGGTCACGGAAAAGGTATGGGTTTTGGACCGGAAGAGCAAGTCACTGATGGTTTCTAGCATGTCTGGACAAGCACCAATACTGCAGAGGAAGTGAGCCAAACTATGAAGTACGCCAGAGGCATTAGATAATTTTGTTCCTTCTGCTCCTTCAAAGAATGGACAATTTTATCTATGATCTGTTCAGTTGACAGTAGGGATTTACACCTACCACCTTTCAGAACATCGTGCTGCCTATAACTGGGATTTGCTGACTGACTGCAGGCAGCGAGCCAACTAAATTTCAAAGGGAAGGCACTGAAGACTTGAAAAATATGAAAGATCTGGTTGTTTTAAGTATTTCTAGAGCCTTCATTTTCATAATATCTTGGCATATTTTGTTGTTCTCTCTACAGAGAAGCATTAGCTCAGCTGGAGAGAATGTAGTAAGAATAGAAAAAGAATCTGTGATCATTGTAAACAGTATTTAATACTCCCTCCCTTCCTGCTCCCTCCAGTCTCCCCAAGTCTTTCATCTTAATTAGTCTCTTCTCAATCTTGGTTTCTGTATCTGCAGTCATCCTGTATCTATGTCTGAAACAATCTCCTTGTTATTCAGCTGGTCTCTCCCCCTTCCCATCATCCTTCCTACCTGCTCATTAGTCACCTCTTTGCCTTGAAATGCAGTCTAGAAACCTTATTGTATTTTCTTTCTGTGGGATAGGTGCTATTACTTGACTGGTTTGTAAAATTGCATTATAAGGATACATGCCACAACTAATAATAAATAAATGTCACTCATTTGTGTGTTAGGCCAGGATAGAAACAGTTATTTAGATTTGTTTTTTTAAGTGCAGGATAGTGGTGTACAGGTCTGGGGCAAACCCTGGGGGGGCATGCACAGTTGCAAGTGTGTGGATTCTGAGAGCTGGGGAGGGCGAGACGGCATGCAGATCCACCTTCTCTACCTGTTGCTGGCTTTCTGGCCCTCATGTTTCCCGCATATGAGTGTGGTGACACTCATTTCATCATCAGAGGGAGATCGCAGCCCCCAGTGCTGCAGCTACTCCTTTTCGGACTTGCATACCAGTGACTAGAGCCACCTTTCCTTGCAGGCCCTCCACAATGTCCAGGAGCCTGGGAAGGAGGAGGGAATGAGCTGATCTGAAAAGCAGAGCTCTACAGCCCCGTATCCATCCCTTTGCATGGGGGCAGCTGACACTGGGGCTGGAGTAGGGTGGGGGGCAGGACTGGGAGCCCCCAGGGGTGCTGTTTGCCTGCAGGACACTGGGGTGTGTGTAGGGTGCCCAACTTCCTCCCACAGGGGCCAGGTGCTGCAGTACCCTCGAAGGGATCTTGCAGCGACTCAGGGTGCCAGTCACTGCCGTGGAGGATGAGGACATGCGTCACCAAATACAGGCAGTCCTCAGACTTAGACACAATTGGTTCCTGAGACCTGCGTCTTAAGTCGAAATGTTGCAACTCGGAACCGATTTTTTTCCCATAGTAAACAATGCTATATATGGGGGATTGGTTCCTGAACCAAGGCCCGATGCCCCATTTTCACCAAAAATAACCCAGAATTTTGTACTCGATTATAGATGAGTAATATAGCTACATTAACGTATATATATTGTAAATAGCAATCATATTGATTTGGCTTTGAGGTGACTTGGCTGGACTTCTTTACGGGATCCTGGCTGGAGTCTTCTCAGGAGTCCTGGCTGCAGGTTTTTCTGGAGTCTTGGACACTTTCTTAAAACTTCAAGGAAGTTTGGACAGACGAGAGATGGGCGACGCAGCGAACTGACTTGCTGGCGTGGCGTCGGCTCGAGCGTTGTAAAGTCGGAACTGACATCAGAAAGTTGAAACAGGGTGTCATTTATAAACGTAATTGCGAAACGTTGTAAGTCGAGGACTGCCTGTACATCCAAAAGGAAAGGCTTCAGTCTGAGGCACAGAACCGGTGGAAAAGTCGTTGCCTCCCCTCTCTGGAAAACATCCGGGGAGAGATTTAAGCGGACCACTTAAAAACGTTAAATGTTTTGTTAGTGTTGGAACAAAAGCAGACAACCAAAACGGTTCGGCGCGCGTGTTGCGCTTCGTGGACGTTGCGGTTCGGCTGCCTCGTGTCCCAGTCCTCCCGTGATGCCGGCGCCGGGAGACGGAGGCCGGCCACCGAGCTGGGCCTAGACGGCACAGGAGCCTCCTCCACGTCCCGGCACGATTTGCCTGCAGATGTTTAGGATTTTGCGACTCGGATTTTCACCCGCAGGGTTTGCCAGGCTCCCGGCCGCTTCTTTGGTTTCATTTTTCAGTCAAATACTCTGGGGGAAAAAAAAACAAGTTGCCGAGCAGCTTCAACAACCGGCTTTTGGGACCAGGAGTGAGGGGAGCCCGGCTTCTTCAAGGGGGCGTGGGGCAGGTTGAAAGACCTGCCGCCTTTCAACTCGGACCTCTTTCTCCACAGACGCGAGGGGGGCTTCTTCCCCCCACCCGGGGTGCTGGGGACAGGCTCGCCCCACCCGTGGGCTGGCTTTGCCGCGCAGGTCCGGGGACGGGGCTGGGCGGTGGCCACATTTTTGGCTTTGTGGGGCCGATCCT